ATTATTACCGACCATTCGTGCAGGACTATGCAGAAATTGCACAACCTCTAAATGATCTCAAGAAAAACCTAAGGTTCAAATGGAACAAAGAACAAGAACAATCATTCAAATCCCTCAAGGAAGCTATTACCGAGGACTCTGTTTCACCCTGACGCGCATGAACCATTTATTGTTCATGTTTCCCGTACTCAAAAAAACATTGGAGCCATTCTCAGCCAAAAAGATGATGAAGGAGACGAACATCCGATCCTGTATGCATCCAAAGCATTTCGAGGTGCTGAAACAAGATATACTTCAGTGGAATTGGACTGCCTAGCAGCGGTCTACGCCTAACATCATTACCAATCGCCAAGCCCTGAACTGGCTCAGAGATTCCAGCAACGCCACCAAGAGGCAAGTTAAGTGGAAAATCTACTTGAATTATTTCACGTTTGAGGTGGAAATCAAGAAACAGAAAAGAAATCAGCTAACAGACGCCTTTGCAGAAAATCCTCTCCAAGACGAACATGAGGAAATTGTCATGTTCGCAACTTGTATGCCTGCTCTGCCAGTACCAAAAGTCCAGTGTAAAGACACCAGTGTCAGTCACCAATTCTAACCGAAAGGTTAGAATAAATAGTGACCCAAAAATTATCACCATTCCAGCGGCGGGAAGCTCAATAGCCAATGGAGTCAGAGCTCACAGAGCATCCGAGACTACGAGTGGTACTCGCCAACCTATTTCTTATAGATTGAACCAAGACTACAAAACCACACCGCAAATCAGCAAAAGCCCTGCATCCAACACTGAGAACTAACCAGCAGAAGAAACAACCCCCACTCCGTCTACCCCTTCGATTGTGGAGATGCCAGAACCAACTCCAACAACTTCAGGATCCAAAGAACCATTACTACAGGATGAACCAACAGTAATATCTGATGAAATGGAAGACCGAGGAAAAGAAAATCAACTAGAAATTTCCCTTGAAGGAATCCCAACAGACGAAGAGTTGGAGGATGACGCATTCATCACAGATCGAAACTCGACTGTGGATGACACGCCCTCCATAATTGAAGCCGAAACTCGAATAGAAGAAAATGACGAAAGATCGAATCCTACATCACGTCTACCAGTTGTAACGTGACATTTTGCATGGGGGTTAAAAATGCCCATTACCTTCGCCCTTCTTCCCCTGAATCTAGTCAAATTCAAAAATGCAGAAATCTCTGGGCGCCAGGTAATTTTTAGCCGGAATTACCAAACCGGAGGAATCTACAAAATCAGCTCTAACTAATTCGAAAACCTCTAAAACGTACACAAAAAAGGGAGAAAACTAGATTTTTGGAGAAAGGTAACGGTCCTCGGTTCGCTCAGTGTGCTAGGTTGTGGAGAGAGGGGTCGATTTCAGGTGGAAACGGGTTAATGGGGCGGTCAAAACTACAAAACAACAAAAAAAGAAAGAGATCGACATTGTCCTTACTGGTTTCACCATTGAAATTTGTCAAAATAAAGAATTTACATTTACATACATTGGTCTTACCAAAAAAAAGAGAAGATTTATAATAATAATGAGCCTTCTTTTAACAAACGTAAAATAATAAATTAACTGGAAATATTTGGTCCTGACAATAATACATTATCGAATAACTCGGCTACAAAGTCAGGTCATCAAATTCCGCAAGTAGTAATGTAAAAATATTCGTTAATCCCGAAATACTCGAAAATTCCGACAACTAGGGAAAAGGTATGCGAATCCCCTGAGAGAGTGAGAGAGAGAGGATATAAACCCAGCGGTATACGTACAACCTACTGCGGGAAACTAAAAATCCGACAAAACTAAACTCGCTGTAGCGGGAATTCGGTCGAGTCAAATTTAAAAAACCCAGAGCTAACTTACTTGGAAAGGTCTAGAGAAGCCCATGAAATCAAAATTATAATTTTTGGATCATTGGGAGCCACTCCGGGTTGATTTATATCCCGAGGGAATACTCACGGGAAGCAAGAGCTGCAACTTGTTGGCGCGTTAGGAGGGTGCCGTGAGGAGGAAGTGTTCATGGGGAATGCTCGAGTCTCTCTACGCAATTTATACGTAGAGGAAGATACAGATATAGAGAGAGAGATAGCCCAAGTCGAAAATTCTCAGATTTCGACCGGGAAAAGTTATCACGCGTTCCCTGGAGACAAAACAACCTGACTGTTTCGGCGAGAGTTAAACAAAAAAAAACCGATGGAGAGCCGGGATTCGGGAAAGGGTTGAGCAGTTCACCAAAATAATGACTGACACAGTCCGCGTGGGCAGAGTCACAATAAAACTGTATTTTCCGTTCAAATGCAAAACTCAGTCAAATAAATATTTACAAAAAAATAATCACTGTCAATTAAGAATCGGTTCGAGACACGGTAGAGATTTTTCACTGTTGAGATGGTCACAAAAATAATAGATTTAATCGCGGAGAGAGAATTGCACGATGCACACTTGTCACGAGGCGATTAGAGAAGAAGCCGGAAGTGACGAGATGCGACAAGTGTCGCGGCAGGTGCCGTCGGTCCCAATTAAGTGGACACGGTTGGTAACCCAGGTCCGTGTCCAGGAGGTGCTGCCGCTCGTGGTCAGCGGACCAACCTGCCGTGACGTGAGGCTGAAGCCTCAACATTCTCCTCCCGTCAACAACTTGTTGGTGACCAGGTTCTCGAGAAAGCCATGATAGAGCCTGAAACACTAAACAGAGAACATCAACAATGTCAACAGAGACCAGCTTCAAAATCAGCTGGTAGAGATTGGCAACGGAACCAGCTTGGAGATCGGCCAAGTCAATGTCGTCGTTGCTGTCCTGACGGTCACAACTCTGGAGAGACCATCCTTCCCAGGGTGTAGAGCTGTGACCCGAGCTAGAGGCCACTTCGCCGGCGGGAACCTCTCGTCGGAGAGCAGAACGACAGAGCCGATGCGAAAGTCGTTGGACGGATGATGCCACTTGGAGATGGATTGAAGCTGCTGTAGGTATCCCGTAGACCACTGCTGCCAGAAATACTGCAACTTCACTGACTTTACTGCTGCTTCCCATTTTCCTCCAAAATGAGGGGCCCCAGGTGGATTGAAAGACCACCGAGTACCGTCTTCCAGGCAAACTGCTGAGAGATGCTGGAACTCCTTTGATCCAGCGGAGAACAACCTCTTCAGCTCCTTGTCTGCACCAACGAAATTCGTTCCACAATCACTGAAGAGGTTCCTGCAACGACCTCGATGACTCACGAATGAACCCATCAGCAAAGTAGTCGGTTGCAGCTCCCAGATGAAGGGCCGACGTGGCCATGCAAACGAAGATCACCAACCAACCTTTTTGGGTTTTATGAGCACGCCCCTTCCACGTCTTGATGGACACGGGTCCAGCGTAATCTACACCAGGGTTAGAGAAGGCACGTCCTGGAGACAGACGTGCCGGTGGAAGCTACCCCATCAGTTGCTGAGCACGTACTCCACCATGACTGCGGCGTTGAGCTCAAGTCTCGGGATGGTGAGTTGCTTGAGAGGAGCCACCTTGGTTTTAGCAGTAGCTAAAGAGACACTCAGGCCATCCGAGCTTATCACCTTCACATATACAACTGCCGCCATCGCTGTTTGCGATGCGTCTGAGAACCCGTGTATTTCCACCACAGCATCCTTCCTCACTCCGAGCCAATGAGGAATGGAGATATTTTCGACCTGAGACAGCTCCTTACGGAATTGGGTCCACTTATCCGAGATGTGTGGTGAGAGCGCGTCATCCCAGTCCAGCTTCTCAATCCAGAGACGCTGTAGGAGAGCCTTTTCCCTAATCACCACAGGAGAAATCAGACCCAGAGGGTCGAACAACTGAGGTATCTCAGACAACATATTCCTCTTCGTCACCTTTGAGTTCGCCGGAAGATGGATTGAGAACTTGAATTGGTCTGTGTTTGGATCCCACTTCAGACTAAGAATCTTCGTGATGGCATCCTCTAGCAGCTTATGATCCTGAGAGACACCTTCTGGATTCAGAGATCTGAGTAGAGACGGACTATTGCAATGCCACTTTGTTAGAGGGAAACCACCAGCTAAGCAAAGACACCTCACTTGCTTGGAGACTTCTAGAAGACCACTCTCCTCTCCAGCACCACCAAAGATGTCGTCCACGTATCTTCCACTGGTCAACGGAGAGATTGCTAGAGGAAAACGATGTTCTTCGTCCGCGACCAGTTGGTTGAGAACTCNCAACTTGTTGGTGACCAGGTTCTCGAGAAAGCCATGATAGAGCCTGAAACACTAAACAGAGAACATCAACAATGTCAACAGAGACCAGCTTCAAAATCAGCTGGTAGAGATTGGCAACGGAACCAGCTTGGAGATCGGCCAAGTCAATGTCGTCGTTGCTGTCCTGACGGTCACAACTCTGGAGAGACCATCCTTCCCAGGGTGTAGAGCTGTGACCCGAGCTAGAGGCCACTTCGCCGGCGGGAACCTCTCGTCGGAGAGCAGAACGACAGAGCCGATGCGAAAGTCGTTGGACGGATGATGCCACTTGGAGATGGATTGAAGCTGCTGTAGGTATCCCGTAGACCACTGCTGCCAGAAATACTGCAACTTCACTGACTTTACTGCTGCTTCCCATTTTCCTCCAAAATGAGGGGCCCCAGGTGGATTGAAAGACCACCGAGTACCGTCTTCCAGGCAAACTGCTGAGAGATGCTGGAACTCCTTTGATCCAGCGGAGAACAACCTCTTCAGCTCCTTGTCTGCACCAACGAAATTCGTTCCACAATCACTGAAGAGGTTCCTGCAACGACCTCGATGACTCACGAATGAACCCATCAGCAAAGTAGTCGGTTGCAGCTCCCAGATGAAGGGCCGACGTGGCCATGCAAACGAAGATCACCAACCAACCTTTTTGGGTTTTATGAGCACGCCCCTTCCACGTCTTGATGGACACGGGTCCAGCGTAATCTACACCAGGGTTAGAGAAGGCACGTCCTGGAGACAGACGTGCCGGTGGAAGCTACCCCATCAGTTGCTGAGCACGTACTCCACCATGACTGCGGCGTTGAGCTCAAGTCTCGGGATGGTGAGTTGCTTGAGAGGAGCCACCTTGGTTTTAGCAGTAGCTAAAGAGACACTCAGGCCATCCGAGCTTATCACCTTCACATATACAACTGCCGCCATCGCTGTTTGCGATGCGTCTGAGAACCCGTGTATTTCCACCACAGCATCCTTCCTCACTCCGAGCCAATGAGGAATGGAGATATTTTCGACCTGAGACAGCTCCTTACGGAATTGGGTCCACTTATCCGAGATGTGTGGTGAGAGCGCGTCATCCCAGTCCAGCTTCTCAATCCAGAGACGCTGTAGGAGAGCCTTTTCCCTAATCACCACAGGAGAAATCAGACCCAGAGGGTCGAACAACTGAGGTATCTCAGACAACATATTCCTCTTCGTCACCTTTGAGTTCGCCGGAAGATGGATTGAGAACTTGAATTGGTCTGTGTTTGGATCCCACTTCAGACTAAGAATCTTCGTGATGGCATCCTCTAGCAGCTTATGATCCTGAGAGACACCTTCTGGATTCAGAGATCTGAGTAGAGACGGACTATTGCAATGCCACTTTGTTAGAGGGAAACCACCAGCTAAGCAAAGACACCTCACTTGCTTGGAGACTTCTAGAAGACCACTCTCCTCTCCAGCACCACCAAAGATGTCGTCCACGTATCTTCCACTGGTCAACGGAGAGATTGCTAGAGGAAAACGATGTTCTTCGTCCGCGACCAGTTGGTTGAGAACTCTACAGGCTAAGAATAGGGCCGATTTAGTCCCGTAGATCACGGTGGTGAGCTGGTAGGTGTTGATCTGACCTGGAGAATCCCGCCACAGAATCTGTTGAAGATGCCAGTCCTCACGATACACCTTGATTTGACGGAACATCTTCCTAATGTCCGTCATGAAAATGTACTTGCTCCGCCTGGAGGAGAGCAGCACGTCAGAGATATTCTTCTGCAGTTTGGCTCCAGTGTGTTGGATGTCATTGAGAGATACCCCTGAGCTGGTCTTACTAGAGCCGTTGAAGACTACCCTCAGCTTCGTTGTTTCCCTACTTTCCCTGAGAACACCATGATGAGGAAAGTAGTACATTGGAGTTGACGAATGAGCTTGCCTCTGAGCAGAACACCGAGTGGAGACACGAGCCGACTGCTTCTCCTCAGGGACCCTCAACCCTCCTGAAGCCGAAGCCCCATGTGCCAAGGTCATCCCCTCAGATCGACAGCCGAACTTCAAGCTCCCGGCATTCCCCGAACCAGTTAAGGCTGGAACACGCACCATGTGTCCGAGATCTTCGTACTCCTTGAGAAAAATACTATATAGCTGAAGGGTCCATTGATCCCTCTCCATTCTCCGGAACAGGCTGGAGAGACACGCTTTAGCCCGACCATAAGAGTCGCCAAGCTCTGTCGGAGAACGTGCAAGAGGCAGGCGAACCACATAGCGCCCTGAGCTGTCTCGTGAATGGGTGCGCTGGAAAAACTGCTCACATTCTGCCTCCTCTTTCGTGAGATCAATATCTTCGGCTTTTGGGGCCTCCTCCTGCAGCCAGAACGAAGTGAGAAGGTCGTAGAGTTCCTCGTTGCTGACTGCAATGTGATTAGAGGTGGTCACCATTGGAATCGCCGCTGAAGTAGGTCCTAGTACTACCCAACCAAAGATAGCGTTCATTGCTATAGGGGAGTCTGAAGGCCCTTTGATGATGTGTGGCTTCACCATTGATCCGAAGAAATCCGCGCCAATGAGAAGGTCAATAGGTCTTGGCTCCATGGATTCCGGATGAGCTAACTTCAGTCCCTCGAGGTGTCCCCAAGCTTGAGTATCCGAGACTGAGAACGACGGCAACGATGATGTCAGATGGTCAAGAATATAGGCCTTAATCTGAAGATGTTTGCCTGAGTGCAGAGATTTCAGACAGAACTGAGAGAATTCCTTTGAGAATAACCTTGATCCACCAATACCAACGACAGGTAGCAAAGCTGGAGACTTCAACAAACCTAGCTTTACAGCAAGACTATCTGCAACAAATGATAACTCAGATCCAGGATCCAACAACATCCGAACTTCACAGCAACATCCATTCTCTGAAACGAGAGAAGCTAGCGCTGTGGCGAGAAGAACACGTGGTCTGGGTTGAGATGACGATTCATGAACTGATAATGCTACAGATGAAGAATAACTTGACAGCGACGGCCGTAGAAAACGTTCTGAAGTTACCGGAGCCGCTGTCGATGAAGTCGTTGGTTGAGAAGATCACTGCTGCATTGATGAAGGCCCCGGAACAGCGGACTGTATAGGACGCGTACCAGACTGAGACCACTGACCTTGAGACTTCAACTGGTCTGGTTGAGATGTCTCCAGAGGACAATTCTGACGGCGTGTGATGTAGATCATCGAGTGGTGACGCTTGTGACACACAACGCACGTCTTCGTGGTTCTACAGGCACGAATCGAGTGCTTCCCCAAGCAGTTGAAGCAGAGGTACTTCTTTTCGACGAACTCCTTCCTCTTTTCCGGCGACAACTGCTTGAATTTGGGGCACTTATCAATGAAATGCTCCTCTTCATATATGGAGCAGGCATTGGCGGTCATGTCTGCCCATGACTGCGAACTCGACCCACTAGCCTGTGGAACTGCACGGCCAGTTGAGAAATTCAGCACCTTTGCTGGCTTTGCTCTGGGTGGTTGAGAGGGCACACTCGAAGTTGGCTTCTTGGGAGCATGCAGAGGATGCAGCTCAATTCGATCTCTCCCTAGCTCTTGCTCTGCTCAACATGAACTCCCTGAGTTCCACGTATGTTGGAAAGGTGGTGGTGGATCCGATCTTAACTTCCCATGCCTCCAACGTCTTAACATCCAACCGGCTGGAGATGATATGCACCAAGACGTCGTCCCAGTGCTCGACAGGGCGCCCCAACGGATTGTTCCTACGTACTGAAGAAATACATTCACCAACGCAACCCGGAGAATGGAAAATTTCTCAAGTAGACAAAGCTATGCTTTGTTTGCTTGAGGACCCACCAACACAGCCACCGGGGATGTCACTAAATTTATACCCTAAATTCCTCACGTCTGACCTTCTTATGAGCGAACAACACCGCTTCGTAAAGAATCATCAGAAACACCTCAGAATAACCTGAATGAAGGACTCACAGACGACAAAATTACCATACCGCAAAGTGACTACCAGGCTACGAGCAACGTCAAAGAAACCCGAGATGGACTAACATTCACAAGGAGGAACATTGCTCATTTCCTCGCAGCAGATGGAGAGATCAAAAAGCAGAACACCAAACTTTTAAGACACCTCAATCTGATTAACCTGAAGGAAATACGTAAGCTCAATCCAAAACTAGGACAGGTCATCGTCATGAAATGCGGAAAATTTCGAACATTCACCCACATCGTGAAGCAATGGCATTTCGATAAGGTGAACAATCGGATACTAAAACTCTGCCTGAAAAATCTCAAAACCGCCATGAAAAAATACAAAATCAAGGAAATAAAAATAGCATCTCAGGGCGACGAAATAGATGATGACATCAGAATCGGATACTTCCTGGAGAAAGAATTTCAATTCCACCCAGCTACCATAACTCTATGCGATGGTGAAATCCGAATGCTTCCAGTAGCCCTGAGACCAGAAATCATTAAAGAATGCCATGCAACTCTTCCCGGAGGACACAAAGGAATTGTGAAAACCTTCAACCGTGTAAGAGAAAGGTTCTATTGGCCCGGGATGAAACAGGAAAAATAGAGATTTATAAAACTCTGCCGAAGCTGTCAACTGGAAAAGTTTCCAAGAGTGAAATTCAGACAATCCATGCTCATCACTGAAACACCTAGTGAATGCTTCGAGATGATCCCTATTGACAACGTGGGCCCCCTTCCACCTACACGTACGGGACACTGCCATATCCTGACAATTCAGGATAATTTCTCCAAGCATTGCACTGCTGTACCACTTATGGACATCAAGGCTCACACCATCGCTCATGCACTAGCAACCAAGTATGTAGTCCTGTACGGATGCCCCAAAATAATCCTCTCAGATAAAGGTACCAGCTTTCTCAGTAAACTGTTCAACCAACTGGGACAGGTCCTGAGATTCCATCATATAACGACATCCGGATACAGACCTCAGTCAAATGGAGCCCTCGAGAGAAATCATCACGTATTAGCTGAATACCTGAAGAATTTTATCGAAGAATTCACCGACTGGGACGAGCTACTCCCCTTCGCAAAGAGCAAATCTCCCATCCAATGTCACCGACGAAGATGAGCCAATCCACACTTACAATGACTACGGGAACGAAAGAGCTAACGAACTAGCAAAAATAGGATCAGAAATAATACCCACAGAACCCAATTAGACCAGCGCTGACAATTGCTGGACCGAAAACTAATTACCCCAAACTCAACAAAATTCTCCAAATTACAGACCGCAGCACCATGAGAGCTATCATCATCCTGTGGGCCATCATCTGGGTAACAAGACCCCAACCAGACTTAGCAACCAACCAAATATATCAACATCAAACAATTGACGATAACCCTGGACTTTATTACGAGAACATCGACCAAATATGAACAATTAACAGGAAATGGCGACTGATGCTCACAGTGGACATGCACTACCTCCTAAGACAACCACTGCCTGGGATGCAAACAATAGAAAAATATGAAACCGAATGGAGCAAACACCAGGGCAAACAGAGCTGCGATAGAGTACTAGGCATACCCATCATGAAAGAGTACAACATAAATCTCCAAACAATGCCAAAACATCTGGAAAGTATCTGGAAAAGCCCAGAACAAAACCACAAAAGAAGATACAGCAGATCTCCTTTACTAGGTGTTGTTGGCACAATATGAAGATGCCTCTTCGACACCATGGACTACAACGATCAAGAATACATCATCAAAGAAATCGATCGACTCTACCAAGAACAACAATAAATAACCCATTTAATTAGAAATTCCACTCATATCATCCAAGCTGAAATAAACGCCATGAAGAAGCAACACGAAAGGAATTATGAAAAAATTAGAAAGGCCACAGAAAGAATCAACGTCATAACCTCCAACACTAACCTACTAACTGACAAACTGACTCAAGGAGAATAGATCGCCTGTCTAGAAGAAACAGCTAGAGAAATACAACACGCTGCTGAAAAATACCTAGAAATGACTCACAACAACCTTCATGCCATAGAAGACGCCAAACACGGAAAGCTAAATCCTATCCTAATAATTAATCAAAAAATGGACAGAGCCGTAGAAGAAATTGGGAAATTCATCACCGACAGCATCTTCCCAATATGCCAAGAAAAGATAGATCTGACCCTCCTAAGCCAAATCAGCGACATACACGCTGGATTCAACAACGGCTCATTCCTCATATTTCTCGATATTCCCCCACTAAGCAAAGATCTAATGGAACTATACAAGATAATACCCTGTGAAGTTCCCCAAAGAATTCACGGGAATAGAACAGTCACAGCATACGTACAGCCACAAAGGGAATACATTGCTACTCTAAAATTCAGCAACAAATACAGTCAAATGTATTCGGACTACCTAAAACAATAAATATTTCAGAAACGGCACCAATATTGAAGGAAATACCAAAACCAATAAATCCATTACCCAAAATAGAGCAACATATCTTACCTTCCCCAGAAGAAAAGAGCGACTTCGATGCATCACTACAGCAAACCTTAGATGAAGCAGACAGAATAGGTCTCCATCACCAACAAGAATATCATCACAGAATTTTTACGGTCACGAACGGCATCATCACAACTACCCTCTCAATATTTGCGATAGCAACAGCTTTCTTTGCATACAAAGAAGGCCTGTCTATCACAAATATCCTACCCTGCCTCTCCTACTGCCGGAAGTCCAAGAAGAAACAAAGGAAAATCCAACGAAGAGTTGAAATCGGACCCCCAAAAATCCAACGGATTGGTGAAACATTAGCAATAAGTATGGCTGAGATGTCCAGTTATCCAGCGCCATCACCGCCGCCAAAAAAAGATCAGACACCAGGCCCAAACGTACAAATCCGACCTCTAATCAGGACACACCATCCGCTGTCGTCATCAATTACATCAAGTAAAAGAAATAAGGGTATAATAGTAGATAACAACGAACTCAATTCTTAAGAAAAAAACAAAATATATATATTTTTTCATTATCTATACAACTAACGAAACCTGACGGTCCAACGTCAGAACAATTCTCAAGATTTTAAAAGAAATCCGATCTAAAAGTGAGATATCCTGTCTCTCACCGATTGCCAAGAGAAAGGCGCGGTATTCCATCAACTGCTTCCGCCATCTTCTCATCTAAAAAAAAAATTATTATCAATTTTTATGAAATAAAATATGTATATATATTGTGACGTATTTCTTACCTCTGCGAAAGATAATAGATACGCAGCCCTCAGCGACCCGAATGACAAACGAAAAGTTGGGCGGCAGAACGTATGAAACGTTCACCAAAATCGAAAACGAAATCAAACGAGCGATAAATCAAACAACGAAGAGAGAGCGATCGCCGACAGCTCAGATCAACCGCCGAGGCGGCTGGGTTCCACAAAATCCGCTCTCAATATAAATTACTCTGAAATGACTGGGTTCCTTATTACTAATAAATGATGAGAAGATTCAGACTTTCGGGGAGGAATATTCTTTACTCAATTTCTAGAAAATTTAAATATCACAATGTAAATCAGTTATCTAATTAATTAAACGTCGTTATTTTCAAATTATTTCTCTTTCCGTTATGCTTAAAATCACAATCAGAAAATCACAAAATTCATAAACCGATCTAATGACTCGATATAAAATCAATTCCCTCAACGTAATTCGTCAATTAATAAAATGCTAGTCAACGATAATTTAAATAAAGTCAATAAATGAGAAAATCTATCAAGAAGTCAAAAGGACAAAAAAAATGAAGTAACTAGCCGAGTTACTGCAAGGTCGAATGTCACGACAAAAGGAACGATAAGAAATACAAAGAAAACGGTTGCGAGAAAAATAATTCCGAAATGTAGTCTGATTCTCAAATGACGCGATTCGAATTACCACGAGAAATACGAATAACAATTACCAGAGCCGGTGAATCTGCCTAACGCGAAGATCAAGCGTCGACAAAGATGCCGTGATTCCAAATCACGTCTATAATTCCTTCACTGTCCGGTAATGACAAAATCCTAAATTAAATAAATAAAGTAATATACGAACAGCGATAATGCGAAAATTCCCTGAAGCTGAAAAATTGCCACGAGAATTCCACTTTGGATATCCGAATTTGTTCCAAAGTGGATGCGAAACAAGAGTTGCTAATTCCGACAAATATTTGAAACACTGAATTTTAATCGGAAGAATCCGACATAAATATTTCAAGAAAACTCGTAAATTGATAGAATAAGAGGTTCACTGAATTTTACCCGAAACCGTTAGAATGCTCCGCTGAGCGAGAAGCTAGATGTCATCAAAATCCGAAAGCAAAAATCTAATGGCGTCATTCGCCATAGACGAAAACCTTCTGTCCAAAAGGAAGCTAATTTAACGAGATCCCGC